GCAGCTGGATCAGGGACTTTCCTCGTCTGCACAGGGCTCAGCAGCAGCTCATAGCCCTCATCCAGGGCATGACCCAGCCGTGCACACCCACCCGCAAGGTGAGACTTGGGGGAGGGTCCCGGCCCCAGCGGGGTGGGCTGCTGATCAGCGTCGATGGCTCCAGCACCTCCTCCTTGTCCCTCCTCCCTTCCCCCCCATCCTCCCCTAGCAGTCGTCTGGGGGGCCGCAGAAGTTGGTCCGCATCGTCAGCTTGGACAAAGCCAGGGCCAGCCCTCTGTGCTCGTCCTTTGACGGGGCACAGTCAGACCCCCGCAGGGTGGAAGGTGAGGCCTGGGGAGCGGGTGCAGGGACCAGCTGCCTCCACATGGGCAAGGGGCTTGGGGGGCTCGGGTCGGCCTGGGGGACACCACTCATTTAGTCCAGGGTCCATTTTTAGGAATCCTAGTTGACATCTGTGCCTTTCTGAAGGGCAGTTGAGCTCTTTAATGTCCTTTAAACCAAAAATCCTACTTCTGTAATCTGCCTCCATAAAGTAGTCCCAGAGTCCTCGGCTCAATTATACCAACAGCAGCCTTTTTGGAATAGTAAAAACTTGGAAACTATCCAATGCCTAACATCGCGCAAAACAGTGGGCCCCTCGGATGGCTGCTGTGTGGTGAGTGTGTGCACGAGGTCACGACGGAGGTCAGAGCAGCACGGACCCCCGACAGTAAGACTGCACAGTGAAGGTGGCCAGAATGAATTTAGAAGAATGTATGTTTTCTTTTTTGTTTTTATCTTGGAAAGTTTTTTGGGTGTACACTGTAAGACGGCTGTCGAAAATAGAAGAGCAGCATAAATGACTCTGGAGAGTAGAAAGGACACAGGTGGAGGGGGCTGGGGACCGTGTACCCTGGGGGGCCCGGGGGACGGGCTGAGGAGCAGAGGCGGCTCTCGCAGGTCCTCTGGAAAAAGAAAGTCAGCTTCTTTTACCCTCCTCGTGGGATCAATTGCAGCCTGTATGGCTGAGCCTCGAGGTCCCCAGGGCTGGCCCAGCGGTGTGGAATGCAGGATCGCCCGTGTCAGAGCTCAGCGTGCGTCTCGTGCTGTTCCAGGTGCTGGGGCTGCAGCAGTGAACGAAGCAGACCCAGGCCCCTGCTGGGGGTGGGGGGACTGCTGCAGCTGGCGCCTGGCCACTCAGGGCCCCTCTCCTCCCCAGACTCCCCCACCACGTGCTTCTGGGCTGAGAGCTGCTTCACGCTGGTGCCCTACACGCTGGTGCACGCGCACAGGCCCACCCAGCCCCGGCCCGTGCTCTTCGTGCCCAGGGTGGTTGGGAAGATCTTGAGCGAGAAGCTGTGCCTCCTCCAGGGGTTTAAGAAGTGCCCGGCAGGTACGCTGTCACGTGGGAATCAGGTGGCCAGGCAAGGCAGGGGGCGAGGCCCAGCAGAATGCTTTATCCACTCACAGGAGAGCAGTGAAGCTGATGTAGGAGTTGCTGGGGCTTCCACGGCAAATGACCACAGGCGGGGGGTGGTGAGCAGTCCAGGCAAGAATGTGCAAAGACATGAGGCACGTGGGGGACAGAGGGGGGCCGGACGTTTGGTTTTATACAAGGGGGAGGCAGCGGCAGTTCCTAAAGCGAGGAAAAGACATGGCCAGGTCCGGTCTTTGAATGCTGTCAGCACTGTGACACTTGGGGCTGGGTCACTATCTATGGTGGGGGCTGTCCTGATTATTCTCCTGAGCAATCTCCCTGGCCTCAACCCACTGGACACCATAGCAACTGCTCCCCCAGGTGTGACAACTGAAAATGTCTCCAGACATTGCCAAGTGTCCCCTGGGGGAAAAACTGCCCCGGATAAGAAACAACATTTAAGGGGTCGAAGGGATTTCTAGGTGTAAGAAGTTGGATACGTAAGTTTAGAGCTTGGGGAAATGGTGGGGGAGGGGCTTGTTTATCCACATCCATCCGTCTGTCCATCCACCCATCTGTCTGTCCCCCAACCTGACACTGACCAAACACCTGCTGTGTCCAGATGGCTCAGGGTGGAGTCCAGGACACAGACCCCTCAAGTGGGAAGAGCAGGGTCAGGTTAATAAAGTGACAGTCTCAGAAGAGCTTCTGCCAGGTCTGGTGGGGCCCACGGGGTTGGGGCTGTTCAGCACGAAGCTCCCTTGGGACCAGGTTCAGCCGGGTGTTTAATGGCCCCATCCGATGTCCCCTCCAGAGCACTTGAGCCAGGAGGAGTATGACACCTGGAGCCAGAGAGGGGACATCATCCAGGAGGGGGAGGTGTCCGGTGGCCGCTGCTGGGTGACCCGCCAAGCTGTAGAGTCCCTCATGGAAAAGGTGAGTGGCAGGGCCGGGGGTCTGCTCTGGGGATGGCAGGTCCTGCCCCAGGCGAGGGAGGACTTGGAGAATTCCACTGCACAGAAGCGTGTGGTGGGACAATTCAGGGAGGGCTGAGCTCCAGAGCCCGGACACCCCAGCGTGGTGCTTGGCAGAAATGGCACAGAAAGACCAGACCTTGCTTCTGCCGTGTAGGATCCACATAGTCTAGGGTGAATCTTTTAACTCCTCAGGCCTCAGTTTCCTCAGCTCAGGAGAGGTTTGATAAGTCCTTGTTAATGAAGGAATAAGATGAAATAACACTCTCCATGTTTAAAAGGCTGAAACCCGTAAAGTTTACATCTGTGCGAGGCGTGGAAAGCAGCGGGGGGTGCCCAGCTCCAGCCCCGCTCCCCCCACCCTCCCGCGGAGGATGTGAGCTGTCGGATTCCCAGGGTTTGCGCTCCACGCACGGTCTACCTCAGTCCCCAAGGCTTGCAATTCCTACATTTTCCAGCTGAAAAATTAAACAGATGGAAACCCTTAAGACTGTGCAGCCTCACAGAGAAAGTGGCAAACTCTTCCCCCGTATCCTTCACAAATTTTTGTTCTACCCAGATCTTGCTCTCAGTCTACACCGAGGACCCATCAGCCCCGGCGTTGGCTCCTTTAGCTTCCTCCAAGGCCCGAGGCCCATGAACTTGACTCACTTCTTTCTCCCCCTCCCCCAAAGAACACGCACGCCCTCCTGGACGTCCGGCTGGACAGCATCTGTGCCCTGCACAGGGTGGAGATTTTCCCCATCATTGTCCACGTCTCTGTCAACGAGAAGGCAGCGAAGAAACTTAAGTAGGTGCACGCCAGGGGCTGGGCAGTGGGGTCTGAACAGGTGCCTGAGCTCCAGGAAAAGCCCACAGCACCTCCGGAGTGTGCTGCGGCCTGCTGGGAACTCCAGCACCTGGAAGTGCTAACAGGGCGGCTTCCCCCACAACGTGAGGACAAAGGTCCAGCTGCCCTCCCTGGGGAGCATCCCGGAGGACCTGCCTGAACTCTGCTAGGGCTGCACATTGACTGGGGCGCATACAGTTAACACCATCTGATCCATGTTAGTTGAGGGGAAAAATTGCTGAAAACTGCTCCTTTATGGTTTATGGCTGGGGACAAAGTGAGATGTCACGCTACCCCCTGCATGCTTTGAGAACTATGGTTGTGTTCTAGACAACCTGCCCCCATCTGTGGAGTGTCTTTTGGGGGCCTGGGTCCTATCTTCTTTACAAGGTCCCCTCAAAGCGGGGCCACCTGTGTTCAGGGGTGTTTGCGTGGGTGCTGCATCGTCTGTACCTCTGGCCTGGGTTCCAGCACAGTGGCCAGTTTGCTAGGGCTCTGCACTGATAAGCCTGGCAGGGGTCTCTCTCCTGGAGGACCCTTGCTCTCCCCTGAGCCCACCCGTCTCTGGCCCATGCAGGAAAGGCCTGCAACGGCTCAGCACCTCGGAGGAGCAGCTCCTGGAGGCAGCCAGGCAGGAGGAGCGAGACCTGGACAAAGCACCCTGTCTGTACAGCAGCCTGGCCCCTGACGGCTGGAGTGACCTGGATGGCCTGCTCAGCTGTGTCCGACTGGCCATCACCGACGAGCAGAAGAAGGTGGTGTGGACAGAGCAGAGCCCCCATTGACGCCCCTGCACCCCTCCCTGGGGCACAGGGACCTTCGTGTGCCAGTTTTTATGTTTTTTTCCTTTTTTTTTTTTTTTTGTGGCTGGCTGGTACAGGGATATGAACGCTTGATCTTGGTGTTGTCACCACCATGCTCTAACCAGCTGGGCTGACCGGCCAGTGCTTCGCATGCCTGTCAGTGCTGTCCTGTCCTCTGACCTCAGGGCCATGCGGGCACAGCTCTGTCCCCTCTGGCTGGGGTCTAACCTTGCACCCTCACCAAGCACAACGACAAAGTCACTCACACCTGCTCACGTTTCTGTGTGAACCACCTCCTCCACCCTTCACCAGGGCTTGGCATGGTCTGAGCTGGAGACCCCAGAGCTCTCCAGACACCCTTCTGGCTGCAGACCGCCTGGTCCGGATCCACGGAGGCTCCACGTCCCTTCACATTTCCATGTGTTGAAGCTCGTTCAAACCCACTGAGGCAGCGGGTTGGTAGCCCTGGTGCCCCCAAGGTCACCGCCGCCCCTGCCAATAACAGAGGCACAAACCCATGTACACCATAACCTTGGCCAACTTTTCTCAGCTTTTGATGGCTGAGATGTCTCAGCAACTAGAGACTGGTGTTTACCTGTAAATAAAGTTTCCGGGTGACAGAAACAGTATCTTCAGTGCATCTGTGCCTGGTGGCCTCCATGTCCAGCCTAGGGATCCCTGGAGAAGCCTGGCACAGACACCTCTGCACAGGAGCCAGCCAGGCTCTTCCTGAGCACAAGAACTGCCTCCCCCGACCTGCTGTCACAGCCCGGAACCTTCTCGGGGCTGAGCACCTTCACTCCACCTCCCGGGCTTGGGGGCCACTCAGGCATGGCCTGGGTGAGGACTCCCTGGACCCCCCACCCCCTGGCCTTGCCTCCCACCTCCTGGAACTTTCATTGACTGAATGTCATTTTGACAGCAGTGTCATGAATCAGGAAATCGTCCTGGAATTCAGGTTCCTATGATCATAAATGAGTTCAGAAAACGAATTTCTGTATATTTTACTAAAATAAAAAGCTTTTATGATGGTCTGTCCTGCGGCTCCCCCACCCCCCTCGTAGGGGGTCATGAGGGAGGGAAGGGCAACCGGAGCCCACCACTCAAGGAAGAGAGCCCTCTCCTTCCAGGCTTTTCCAGGCAAGCTTCTCTCCCGTGGCGGGTGGAGGAAGGCAGGAACGGAGCGTTCTATCAGCAGCGTCGGTGCCAGCCAGAGGACGCGGCGTTTCCGTACCTTCATCTCTGCACACTCTCAAAGAGGACGAGCTTTCCCCAGGAAGACAGCAGGTCACTCAGGGAGCCTGCCACAAGTCAGTAGAAACCCAGTAGGGTCCAGCCACTTGACCGTGGGGCAAAAGGAAGGAAGCAGAAGCAAGCCCGGGGCTGTTCAAAAGCTTCCTCTGCACCAGAGGGTGATAAAAGCCAGATGTGTCCCCACACCGAGTGTGGCTTGGACCTGCCCACCACACACCTGGCACCCAGGAGCCCCCACCTCCTGTTGGGCTCAGGAATATCTGTGGGTTCCAAAGACTGCACGGGTCTCAAGCCCCGAGTGCCTGTCCCTCTATCCACAGGTCCCTGAACCAACCCAGAAAACAAGACTCCCTTGTCATGGGCTTGGGATTCTGCCCTGTGCCAGGGTCCCCCCTGGAATTCCTGTGCAGGGACATGGCTCAGACACAAGTACGGCAGTGTCCCCTACTATGGTGGCAGCACCCTTGGTGGGGAAGGATGGGGCCAGTTCACACACTCTGCCTCCCCTGCAGGCAGAGGAAGGAGCGACACCCAGCACCATGGGCGCGCGGAGGAGAGGGCTGTGGTCACTGCCACCCACGCTGGCCCCTCCCTCTATCATCAGCTGAGAAGTCTGGCCACAGGGCCACGTCTACGCAGGAGAGGGCACACGCCTGTCACAGCTCATTGTGAAGTGGCCGGCACTGGGGAGAGAGCTTTTCTTCCAGGACGCCATCGGGGGCACACACCCAGGGGTCATGGGTCTCCCACTGCCACTTGGCCAGTTGGGCCTTGAGCATTTCCAGGACCTGGGCATAGCGTGGGTCAGCAGCCAGGTTCTGGGTCTCGTGGGGGTCCCTGCTGTCATCATAGAGCTCCCAGCGTTCCCGGTAGTAGTAATGATGGAGGTCCTTGTACCAGCCTGTGGGCTGGCCGGCCACAGTGCGGTTCAGGAGGTCCTGGAAGGTCGGCGAGACGTAGAAGTCCTGGTCGATGGGAAAGGGCATCTTGAAGTTAAGGTTGTGCACGAGGCGGAAGTTCTGGTGCTGCACGGAGCGCATGGGGTAGGACATGGTGACCTCGTGGTGGCTCTGGCTGCCAAAGACAGTGGTCCAAAGAGGCTCCGCCTCCAGCGCCGGCAGGAGGGACTGGCCCGTGAGCCGGATGGTCTTGGAGCCAAAGATGGCGTAGCTGGGGTAGGGGATGGAGAACCAATCCAAGACGGTGGGCGCAAGGTCTGGATAGGAAGCACGTGTCAGAGGCAGGGCCGAAGGGCTGGCTCAGCCCCTCCAAGAAGCTAGCGGGCCACCTCGTGCGACCAAATCACTACCAGGAGGTGCAGCTTAGGGCCGACGCCTCGCACTGTTGCGTCGTCTCTCCGGAAGAGGCCCGACTTACTGATACGTAGGATCCTTACAAAATCCTACGGACCAGAAAGTTAGTCCCCACGTAGGGAGGACTCGGCTGTGCTTGCTCTGTGGTGTGACCACGGTGCTCCCTGGCTCGTGGTTTGGGGTGAAAGGGAGCTGTGGGCCCTGAGCTGTGGGGACCCGAGTGCACGCTGCCCTGAGCCGACCCCAGCAGAGCAGTAAGGCACAGAGCATCTGCCCTGGGCCAAGGGGCTCACCCCGAGACCCTCACAAAGTCTTCCCGCAGCTATAGTTTTGTCTGCCCGTCTACAGCTGGGACTGGACACGCCCAGGCCTTCTTACAGGCGAGCGTGGTCATGAGTGCTCTGGGTCCCCTGGGAAGGCGGGGCAGGTGCAGTGGTTCTCAAAGTGGGGTCCCCGGGCCCGCAGCACCCCTACCACCTGGGAACTTGTCAGACGTGCCAATCGTGACCCTCGTCCAGATCTGCCGGATCAGACACTTTGGGGGTCGCGATTTGGATGACAACAAGCGTTGCGGGTGACTGCGACACTCACCTGCAGTATACTGGGAGAGACCCAGGCTTGAATCCTAGCTTGGTGCTCATGAGCTGTGTGACCTTGGGCAGCTTACTTCACTTGTCTGAGCCTCATTTTCCCATCTGTACAACATGGGTGACTGTCCCTCCCTCGCCCGGGTGGCATGAGAACCACATTAGGTAACAGGTGCAGTGCAATGTCAGGCATGTGTGGTCCCATCAAATGTTCCTTCCCCCCTCCCCCATGCGGATGACAGGGCCATACCTAGGAGGCTCACGAAGGCCTCGCTGACCTGGCCCCAGCGTTTCGGGTGCTCTGGGGATGACACCAGCAAGGGTTCAGCGGTCCCCGGCCAGTACAGGTTGGTCCTGCCACTGGGGAAGGGGATCCCGTTGTCAGACGTGAAGATCACCAGAGTGTCGTTGAGGACACCGGCTCCACGCAGCTCCTGGAGCACAAGTCCAACCCCTGCGGGAGCAGCACAGAGCTCAGCCGCAGATGCAACGCAGAGGCTGGGGAATGTGTGGTGCTGGCCCATCTCTTTTTCCAGGTGCTGAAATCTGTCATTTTCTGGACCTTAAAACACCCTGAAGCCCTTCCCACCAGCCCAGACCTCCTGCCAACACTCTGCCCAGCTCCCCATCCCCGGGCAACCCTCGCACGGGCCTCCAGGGACCCTGTTCATCCTGCGACATTTCCACGTCACCCCCCACATAGCTGCTACCTGCCGTATGCCAGTTTCTGTGTCTTCTGGACCCTTGTGTCTGTCTCATGGAGCAAAAAGGGACAGACCTGAGCAAGGGCCAGGAGATAGGATTTCCTCTACACCCACCCGCTCCCCAGGTCACCCACAGGGGAAACGGTAAGGGTACCAACTTCCTACAGTGGGCTGAATGGTGCCCCCCAAAAGATATCTCCACCCAGAACCTGCAAATGTGGCCTTATTTGGAACAAGGGGCTTTGAAGATGTAATTAAGTGCAGGATCTCAAGACAAGCTCAACATGAAGTACCCGCGTGGGCTCTAAATCCAATAATGAGGGTCCTTATGAGAAGAGGAGACACAGACAAAAGAGAAGACGCGAGGGCAGAGAGCTGTATGAAGACTGAGACCAGAGTGAGGCCACCACAAGCCAAGGAACGCCCAGGATGGCGACAGACACCAGAAGCTGGATGAGGAAGGAGCACATTCTCCCCAAAGCCTGCAGAGGGAGCGTGGCCCTGCCCACACCTTGACTTCCAGAACTTCGAGAGTACAGATTTCTGTGGTTTTAGGGCCCCAGTGTGTGGTACTTTGTTACAGCAGCCACAAGAAACTAACGTGCCCCCTGAGTTCTGTATCTGCACAATACAGGGAACTCCAAAACCCCAAATCTTATCCAGACCCCATTGCTAAAGAATATTTGGAGTCTATACCCAACTTCTGGGGCACTCAAAGGACCTAGCCCAGGAGCAATTTTGCACCAGGGCAGCCCCAGGAGGTAAGTCCTGACCCCACCCTAAGACGGGGCAGCCCGGGTCCAGCACATGCAGTCCAGTCTGCCCGGCCCTAACACAGACCCTTCTGCACTGAGACCCCAGCTCACTCTCTGCTGCTGTAGGACCCACCTGCACTGAGCCCCACCCAGCTGGGGTGCCTGGCACAGGATGGGGACCGGAGCCTTGGCACACCTCACTGTCCCAGTTCCTCAAACTCACCTTGGTCCATCCGGCCGATGGTGGTGTACTGGGCGGCCAGGTCAGCTCGGGCTGCTGGGGTGTCAGGAACGAAGTATGGCACCTGCAACGGCGAGAGGTGGAGTCAAGCCTGGAGCAGAGAGCTGGGGGGGGTGCCCAGCCCTCAAATTGGGGTAGGAGATGGAGGTGTCAGCCTCTCCCCAGGGCTCAAAGTCATCCTCCTTCCCTGAACGGATCAGCCCAGAACAGCTTCCCTCTGGATACATCATCCCACATCTCTATGGCTCATCTGCAGCCCCACGGATGGGAACATGGATCCCATCTAGTCAGAGGGTCTCTTCTTGCACACTAACATCACACCAGCTAGGGCAAGGGCTGCAAGCTCACAGGAGGGGCAGGGTCCCTGATTTTAGGGCTGGCGACACCTTAGAAACATAGTAAGGGCCACTCCTACCTGCACGTCCTGCGGGTCATAGGTCTGGGGGATCCAGTCTGGGATGTGCCCCATGCCGGTCTCCCCGTTGCCAAACTTCTCACAGAAGGCTCCGTACTGGGGCTGGGAGTGCCCACAGCGGTGGGGGTCGTGGAAGGCCACATAGAGGAAGAAGGGCCTGCATGTGGGGAGGGACTTCAGGGTCCAGGTCAGTGGCTGACGCACCCCCTGGCTTGGCCAGTGCCTTGACTTCCTACCCTGGGGAGCCCCATTCTTTAGGCAGAACACCCTTCTTGGCTCTGCCTACTCCCCTCTGAAAGTCTCCCTGTGACCCTCACTGCCTCAGTTTCTCTATGTCCCCTCTTCCTTTTACCAAACTAACTTGAGCATCTGGAACCTTCTCCCCCACCCCCACCACCCAGCCATCTGGGGACTCCAAGAATCCCAACTGAAGACTCAGACGTGCCTCTCCAGTTAACCGCCAAGCGTGTCGCGTGAGGGTAGGAGGGCAGGTCCCTGACCCTACCTGTCGTCCTGAGTCTGCAGGAACTTCCGGACTAGCAGCTTAATTCTAGTGATGTTCCGCCCCACCTGGAGGACAGAGCCATTCTCCTCTGTGTACGCAAAGTCAAACGGGTACACGGCGTCTGGCCCCACGTGCTTCTTCCCGATGATGCCTGCGGGTGGGACAGAGGCCTGTCCAGAGTCCCCTTCAGCCTCCCCTCCCCTCTGTTCCCTTCCACGTCCCCCAAGCCCCGAGTGCGCTGTGGGTGGGTGGCCCAGGCCCTTGGTTCTCAAGGCCCCCCTGCCCAGCCAGGAGGCCCAGGCCGAGGTCCTTCGGGACGGTGTGGGCTGAGGGCTCCGCTGCCCGGGCCCGCGGTGCCTCACCTGTGCGGACACCGGCTTGGTGGAGCAGCAGCGGCAGGCTCCGCACCTTGTCGAAGGAGTTGAAGTGGTGCACGTCCTGGTGCAGCCCGTACATCCCGTTCTGATGCTGCAGGTGAAGACCCCGTGAGGCCCAGCCGCCTGCTCCTGCTCCCCACGGCTCATCCACGCGGCCCTGATTGAGACTTCGGGGGCCGGCACCTCCCACTCCCTGCCCGATGGGCCCACAGGTCCCTCCCGGGGAAGAAGCGTGGGCAGGAAAGGAGAGAATCTGGAGGCCTGCACACCAACGTTTCGGGTGACTTTTCTTCCTTTTGCTTATCTGCATTTCCCAGTTTTTCTATTGTGATCACACACTGTAGACTGCGAAAGACAGCACCAGGCCCTTTTCTGTCACCTAGTTCTTTGATATCGTAAAAGAAATCAATGTTCCTATTAAAAACTCAGATGCCTAGAAAGAGTCAGGTGAGAAGGAAAAGCCCCCCTCGTGCCTGCAGCCACTACCCAGAGCAGGTGGCGCCAAGTTGCTCGACGGACCTCTAAGGAAGCAGCTGAGAATACACACGTGACCCCCACCCCAGCACGTGTACCGTCTGCACATAGTGCGCTCTCAGCCAAGGACCCGCGGAGAGCGCGCCTGCTCACAGTGAGGTGTGTCACAGACGACATGTCAACAGCAAGCGCCCCGTATGCGCACATTCACAGCAGCGTGATTCACAGTAGCCAGAGGGCGGAGGCAGCCCGGTGCCCGGGAATGGATACACAGAGCATGGCTACCCTCCAGCAGGACACTGTCCAGCCTCGAAAAGGACGGACATTCTGCCACACCACGAACAAACCCTCAGGACATCGTGCCAAGTGAAATAAGCCAGTCACAAAAGGACAAATACTGCATGACTCCATTTTTGTGAGGTCCCTAGAGTAGTCAAAATCACAAAGACAGAAGTAGAAGGTGGTCACCAGGGGCTGGGGAGGGGAACGGGGAGCTGGAGTTTCAAGGGGACAGTTTCAGTTCGGGAAGATGAAAAAGTTCTGGAGATAGACAGTGGTGACAGCTGCACAACAGTGTGAATGTATCTAATGCCACTGACCTGTGTATTTAAAAATGACTAAAATGGCAAATTTTATGTATATTTTGCCATTAAAAAAAAAAAAGAGTAAGTGCCTTAACAATGGCATCTCTTATCACCACAGGAGCCCCTGTGACAATGCCGTAAGCTGAGCGAGTATGTGCTGCGCACTCTAAGTGCTTCATGTACAAAGCAGCAACCCTTCTGGGCCGGCCCGGTGGCGCACTGGATAAGTGCGCCGCTTGGGAAGCGCGGCGGCGCTCCCGCTGAGGGTTCGGATCCCACATACAGACCGGTTCCCGTTCACTGGCTGAGCGAGGCGCGGGAGCAACACCGAGGGTTGCGATCCCGTTGCCGGTCCCCGGTCCGGTACGGGGGCAACACTGAGGGTTGCGATCCATTGCCGGACACGGAAAAAAG